ATTTTTAAGCTGTCGGTTTTCCATCGTCGTCTTGATGTTTTTGTGTCTTTCTTTGTTGTTTTACTCATAAAGAAGGCATTCGATTGTTTTGTTCTATATTTCACTTTTTGTGCGTTGATTTTTCCTCGATTTTATTCTCCACGAATTGCTACTTTTAACTAATTTTTTCAAACTAACGTGCAGAAATGCAACAAAAAACAAAGTAGTTATTTTGTAAATTTAAACAAGGGGAATCGTACAATGGATAATTGTTGCAAAACCGGAGATTTCCAAGGATTCCCGAAGGTTTGAAACAAAGTTTCGCCTCAATATACAGAGTTTGTTGGGTATTTCGCCTCAAAAAATGTTGTCTTTGTGAAAAAATGAGTCCGTCTCAACAATATAGAACTTATTTCAATATACAGGGTGTCCGTAAAAGGGGGCGAAAAGTGTAGTTTTCCCTAAATATGTTCTTCTAGTTGCCACATTCGTCTGGGGCAAGTTTCTTGGGTGAAAAAACTGTACTCTGCGCTAATTTTCGTTGAAAAATGACTGTCAATGCCGGTGAAACTTTGCAGTTTAGCCTCGCTGAGTGTACTTTTCCATGATCTCATCCTCCAAAGTCTTTTGCTTGAAGAACGTCTAAATTCCAACAAGAAATCGAAAAACCAACTTTATGATACAATGAAAAAAAAAGAAGAAAAACTAGTTAATCGAGGCACAGTTCTTCGTCGCGTTGAACCCGGTATGAAGAGGAACAAGTGAGAGCGGCATTACGTCACTGCGGAGCCAGTATCGATCGAATCTGGACCGCGTGTACATCCAGAATCATCCCAGTAGCCCGTAGTTGATTTCGCTTCGGGAAAAAAAGCGCTATTCGCAGCTAAAATTAGAACAAATTTGCTAATCTCGATTGGTGAGCGTGTGGGTGCGTGCATGAAAAGTATGTGGTTGCATTGTGGTGGTTAGTGGCCAGCGCATTGTCTGGATATCGCCGCAATTTGGCCAGATTCTGGATATGCGGTTGCAATAAAAAGGTGAGCGAGCTGAAAAGCGACGGAACATTTTGACAATTCCGAACCTCTGCAGTGCCAAGCACTGCATTTTCAACAATTAGCTTAAAGCAACTGGTATTCTCGAGCTGGCCTTTGGGCAACAATCGCCTTTCAGCATTTGCGGTCGTTGGCAATTTTATTTATTTAGGCCCAGCCGCTAGTAAAAAGCGCATAAATCGTTTATGAACCCTCCAATCGCTCAACAGTCAAGGGCCTTTTGCAGAACAATGAAGTCAGCGCAGAACACGTTGGTTTTCGCCCATTAGTGCAACTTTAAACTGTTTTTGTAGATTCTTCGAAAAACCCGATAAGTGGCTTCTTTGAAATCGCCCCTGCAGGATCTGTGAACTGTTTCTAGCCCTCGAAATCGGCTTTTAGCGCAAAATAAGCCGGCGACTGTCGCAGGACGAAACCTTTCAGCCTAAGCGTTTTAAGAACATTTCAAAGACATTTATTTGCCTCAGAGCTTAAAACCGTTGGTTTTGTTAAGCTTGTTAAATATCTGCCTCGTCTTCTGAGTCAAATATGAGTTTTACTATTGAAGATTTTTCGCATATCGCCTACATACTAACGGCAGGTTTTAATTGGAAAAGTTCAGTTCTACAGAGGAATCTAAAATCGCATAACACACATTCTCAGTTTGAATAACGCAACGTGAGCAAACAGCATTATAACGAGTTTTGACTGCACAAACACATCCCAGTTTAAACGAACCTCCAGTGAATTAATGCCTCTATTGCCGTGATTTGGACGTCTCAATCACGTGCAGATCACAACATTCTCGGATCTTTCTTATGCCCACCTGCCCCAAACATTAGAGGAAGACTTAAGGTTATGCTTAGCATTAAGTTCGAGCCTAATGCCCACTTGCACTAAACTTCTTCTAAGCACTTTCTTCGTTCGACTTAAGCTTCAATGAGTTGCACCATCCGTTTTTCACGTGTTCTAAGATTCAGGCAATAACCGGCAACTCTGTATTTTTCGTTCTGTTCTGTATGTCTGTGTTGTTTCTAACCGAAATTCGAGATCTTTTGAAAATTTTGTTTTACTAATGGCTGCAAAACAAAAATGGTCTACTAAATTCAGCGCTCCCGAAAGAGATACTCTTTCAGAGCTCGTCGCGTTTCATTAAGATCATCGATCAGTCATCGAAAATAAAAAAAACATGCTCTGTCTTCCCAAGAAAAGCCCCCAACATGCTAGAAAATAACGGGCAAATTTAATGCTATTTGTTAAAACAATTAATAATTAATTTTTAAACAACATTTCCGCGTACGACCCCAACAATCAGGAAATTCTACAATAACCAAAAAGAAGACATCCGGAAGCACATTTCCAATCAGAAATTTTTTTTTTATAAAACTGGTGGCGGACGAGTTGTGCCTTCAGTTCCCAGGGGCAATGCAGATAAAATATTATTATCTATTGTAAATTATAAGACCTTGTATGGCGTGGATAAATCACTTGCTCCTTTTGATGGTGATTGAAAAAAAACAGCCAAATGAAACTCCGCCATCTCTCAATTTCCCAATTAGTCAGAAAGGTCGTTCGTAAAACGTTGAAATTCAAAATTCATAATAATAATAACATTTTATCTGCATTGCCCCTTGGAACCGAAGGCACAACTCGTCCGCCACCAGTTTTATAAAGTTTTTCTTTCTGATTGCAAATGTGCTTCCGGGTGTCTTCTTTTTGGTTATTGTAGAATTTCCTGATTGTTGCGGTCGTACGCGGAATTGTTGTTTAAAAATTAATTATTAATTATTTTAACAAATAGCATTAAATTCGCCCGTTGTTTTCTAGCATGTTGGCGGCTTTTCTTGGGAAGACAGCATTTGTTTTTCTTATTTTCGATGACTGATCGATGATCTTAATCAAACGCGACGAGCTCTAAAAGAGTATCTCTTTCGGGAGCGCTGAAAATAGTAGACCATTTTTGTTTTGCAGCCATTAGTAAAACAAAATTTTAAAAAGATCTCGAATTTCGGTTAGAAACAACACAGACATACAGAACAGAACGAAAAATACAGAGTTGCCGGTTATTGCCTGAATCTTAGAACACGTGAAAAACGGATGGTGCAACTCATTGAAGCTTAAGTCGGGCTTAAATTTTAAGGTAAGAACGTGCTTAGCAGTTTAGTGCAAGTGGGCATTAGTCGCTTAATTTGCGCCGCATGGATGAGACAAAATCTCACCTCAGAAACGCAATACGGGGGACATAAGAAGTAAAAAGAGGGGCCAAAAAACGTCCTTAAAACGCACAATTTTTCACGCAAAAATAGACCGTCTTAACTTGTTGAGGGACTGTATTTTCAGAATATTTCAGCTTGCAAAATTGAGAATTTCGCATTGAATTGGGGGTAAAATTTGCAGGTGGGGACATGAGGTGGAGGAGTTCAGGGGGGCCCGCGGGGGGCAGGTAGCGCTGCGGGACCCCCGGCTCCAGCATGAGGCGCGGTAGAGAATGAAGAAGCAAAACGTCCGCACCCTCTCACTCATAGTGTGCACCTTCACTTACCTGCTCACTGGGGCGGCATTCTTCGACGCTCTCGAGTCCGAAACTGAGAGCAAACGCAAAATCGTACTTCAAGGTAAGCAACCGCAATGAGGCAAATCCCCATAAAAAACCCCACATTTTCGCGTTGACCTGTTCAACACTGATTCGTCGCCATTTGTTACAGAAATTCAAGTAATAATTAGACGTAAGTACAATATAAGCGACGAAGACTTTCGGATACTGGAAACTGTCGTGATGAAGTCTGAACCGCATCGGGCTGGACAGCAATGGAAGTTCACAGGGGCATTTTACTATGCCACCACTGTACTGACAACAATAGGGTACGTTTTTATCAAACCTCCCAAAAAATTATTCCAGTCCAGAACAGGGATGCTCGGTTATTGAATAAGGTGTAACTATATTACGTTATAAGTACGGATGTTTGCAGCATGAGCCGACGACACTGAATTCATTGTGCCTGAACAAAGCGACTGAACCAAAAAACTACGCAAAATACTCAGGAATTAATCACAAACTCAAATTATTCCTTCATAAACACACGCGAAACATCAGAACAAAAATTTAAGAGATCAAAACACTTCCGATTAGCACAAACAACGCCCCAAAACACCTTAAACGACGATAACAAGTGTAGTTTTTGACACTCTGACAGAAAAAGACTGTAAAACTTAAGAAAAAAACAGTCCACCATAGAAAACCTCGAGTACTTAAATGGATAAGTTCTGTTTTTACAATAGTTTTACAGAAATTAAATAAAGCGCAACAATATAATAAAACACAGGTAAACAATATGGGACTAAAGTTCTACAACCAGGGGTAAATTAATGCGAAACTTCCCGAAAGCTGTATGGTAACACTTGGAAAGGAAAAGAAAACGTGTTTAGTACAGCAGGAAATCTCAATCTGTAGACATCAGAAAAGCAAAAAATAAAAAACGCTTGTATTTTTTAGTTGCATTTCCGAAAACTAAACTCAGTTTACGCAAAAAATTTGAAATCTGGCTGGCGCCCCATCATCCAGTTGCAGTTAGCATGCAGGTTAAGCTACTTACCTACACTTTGGGCCCAAAATGTTTCTATATTTCCCACCAAATAACGCGATTCACACGGCACAAAGCACCCGCGACCGATTTTCCCCATTGCCTAGAATGAACTGAATATTTAGTCAGCTTCTCGCAAAAAGATAACATCATTTGCTCGATAGCCCTTCGTATGACTAATTGCTTCACTTTGCAGTTCGGTAACACTCTGTTTATTCTTGACATTTTTGTAGAAAGTGCATCTTCGCACGCCAATATTTTCTTCAGTAAGTTTCCGGTTCCAACGTGTTTGGATGATCGCCGTAAACAAAACAGTCAACGACAAACAAATCGGATGATGGGGCACGTTGCACATTTTTGTATGAAATTAAATGCTAGCAATCGAATCAGTCAATTGATTCGATTTTTTTCAAATATTGAACAATTTAAAATTGTGTGAAGGACAGGGACAGACTCACATTGAATCCAACGAGCTGCGAAATACGGAAATTGAGTGACAAGGTTTTTCCGATTATACTTTTATTCGCTCTTTCTGAAAATTTTCGATATTGCTTGGCCTCCCAGAAGTCCTGATTTCAATCGTATGGATTTGAAAATTCGATTCAATCATAACAGCATGAGTGAGGAAATTCGGGGAGTTTTGACCCAGAAAGCGAAGTTTGAATATCAGACACTTAAGTGCAATATTATGCCACAATTTCATGTTTTCCGTCCCGTTTTTGCTCATTTTTCGGAAGCTAGATGAGCAAGAACGCTCATTTTTACATCATCCTAAAGAGAACTAAATGGACTTTTTAGAAAGTGAACCATCGATAAAGAAATGTTGGCGGTTGTCTCAAAAGAGTCTTGATTTCAAGAAGTTTTAGATTCTCGTCCTTGTTTTGAGTTGCAAAATCGACTCAACATGACGTTGCTTTTTTCGAAGTTTCTCAAGAACCATTTGAGCCACAGAATTCGTTTTGGCATCGTTGGATAGAGAATTGAACATTCGATTAACAACACGAGTGAGGAAGTTCGAGTAGTTTTGAGCCAGAAAGCGAAATTTGAATATCAGACACTTAGGTGCAATATTATGCCACAATTTCATGTTTTTCCGTCCCGTTTTTGCTCATTTCTCAGATGCAAAATAAGCAAGAACGCTCATTTTAACATCGTTCCAAAGAGAACTAAATGGACTTTTTAGAAAGTGAACCATCGATAAGGAAATGTTGGCAGTTTTCTCAAAAAAGTGTTGATTTCAAGAAGTTTTAGATTTGCGTGTTTTTATGGTTGCAAAATTGATTCAAACATGACGCTGCATTTTTCGAAGTTTCTCAAGAACCATTTGAGCCACAGAATTCGCTATGGCATCGTTGGATAGAGAATTGAAAATTCGATTCAATCAGAACAGCACGAGTAAGGAAATTCGGGCCGTTTTGACCCAGAAATTTGAATATCAGACATTTAGGTGCAAGATTATGCCGAAATTTCATGTTTTCCTTCCTTTGAGCAAATGCGCGCTTATCTGCACCATCCTGACGCATTTTTTGCAAAAAAATCGCTAAACTCAAACAACGCCTTATTCCCAACCGAAATCGTTCAACATTTGCCGCACAAATTGGCCGATTTAAGCAATTACGGACATAATTACGGACATTATTTGCAGGTATGGGCATTCCACTCCGAGCACTATCACCGGCAAATTATTCACCATGATGTATGCCATGATTGGAATTCCCCTGGGCCTGGTTATGTTCCAGAGCATAGGCGAAAGAGTTAATAAACTTAGTAGGTGAGTGCGGCCTTAATTGACCAATGAAGTTCGCTTTTGAATACAACTACACAACTTACCTCCAGCTGTTCTGGCGCCTCTCCAAACTCTCCTAACCACTACGGCGATCTGCAACAAAAAAATTATTAATCCCCAATGTCCCTCCACAGCGTGATTATTCGCTCTGTCCGATCCTCTCTTCACTGCAAACAGACGACGGCGTCCGAACTGGACCTGATTTGTGTCGTGACGTTCCTCTCCTCTCTCACCATCCTTGGTGGAGCTGCAGCGTTTTCACGTTACGAAGGATGGAGCTACTTCGACTCTGTCTACTACTGTTTCATCACGTTGACCACTATCGGCTTTGGAGACATGGTGAGCTTCCGCTCCAGTAGCTGTTCCGGGATCTAACTATTTCGGTTCAGGTGGCTCTGCAAAAGGACAACGCGCTCAGCCAAAAACCCGAATATGTGATGTTCTCGTTGATTTTCATCTTGTTCGGTTTGGCGATTGTGGCCGCCTCATTGAATCTTCTGGTGCTGCGCTTTGTCACCATGAACACGGAGGACGAACGAAGAGATGAGGCGCAAGCCATTCAGGTAGTTCCTTCCATTCAATGACTTCCAATCTATCTAATCCTCCACTCAGGCTCTGGCTGGCGCAGTTAGGCTGGATGGGGACGTGATAACGGCAAATGGGTCAATTTTGAGTGGCCAGATCGGGCATCATTGCACAGAAACCACTTCTTTAGATATCGACGACACCTCAGTGTGTTCCTGTCCCTGCGGCTGCATCCCAACGAACAGTAGACACAGGTATATGTATGTCGGACATTTTTCCTTCTTCAATGTTTCTTATTTATGTAAAATCCGACTTCGACCACTGTTAACTAGGATTAATGTAAACCGTTTCTTTGAAAGATTCACCGTGCGAAGATCGCCAACTCAAATACGGCATCTGTTGCCTGTTCTTCCGATGCACGAGCTTCATCTGCCTCAAGGGCCGATTCTGCCGCCGCCCGCCATCTACCCCAATCACCGGGCATCGATTTGACTTGGTTTCGTTGGCAAACAGACTTAGCCCCTATGGATCAATGTGATATTAACGACATCCCAGTGAAAAATTGCAGAGGATTCTTGCAAATTTCGACCGATCCTCACATCTTTGCACCCTGTATATTGAACCAAACGATTCTGATTACACATATCAACAGTCAAGGACTGTTTTTTAAAATTAGCAAGCACAAACTGTTTTTGCCATTAATTCTCCTGCCTGCCTTTAGATGCTCTGTTTTTAACTTTTTTGGGCAACTGTTTTTCTTTTGAATCTTAAATTTCAATTGAAATCAAATGGATCGACTAGATTTGCAAGCGCTGTAAAAGTTGCAACCGAAAATGCCGAAATGCAGCGTTTTCAGTAAAACGAATTATAAATAATGTAATATAAATCATATTTTTTAATTTAGTATGAGTCGCCCGCATGAATCATCCCAAAATGTGCCACTTCGAACCAAAACTGAATTTTGGGATGATTTGAATGATCGATGAACCATTAAAGTCGCATGATGATAATAATTATAATAGAAATACGTTATCAATAATAAAGCCATTTTTCAACTCAGAGCTCAATGTTGTTTAGAAACAGGGAAGCATGAACAAAAACTGGATTGGTTTGCTGCTGCAGTTAAAAATGGCTTTAACGCGATGGAAGTCTTAAAAGTCATTTGCTGAACCTTTTCGGACCTTCGAGGCTTTCATTGGAAACTTCCATTTAAAAATGAACAATTTGGGATCAAGCTACCGTAGATGTTGATTAACGACTTCTAAACTTGTTCTACACTTATTAGCTCGGATTTGAGGTGCTTAAATAAACCAATTCTGATGACTGAATTCAGTTTTCCCATCTATATGAAGCAATTATTGTAACAGCAAATTCGTTTGCATTTGTGCACATCCCCTTTAGATGAATCGCAAATTCTAAACTACCTTATAACTACTGTAACTTTTAAATTTCCTGTACATAGATTTTACCAATACATACACATAGGTAGATAGAATTTTAACATTTTCAACTAACCAAATGTGTTAACCATTTGAATGGTCATACCTAGCGCGTAAGGAAAATCAGATATTTTATATCTTGATCAGTAGGTGTTTTATTCACTTTTGTATAGGAATCAAGCGACGTCTGTGTAAAAACCTGCAAGCTTTCACGTAATTTTGAAAAAATCTCAACGTTTTTATATCATTTATGCTTGGATTGAAATGTTGAAAACTCGCCATTTTCATAGCTAATCAGTTGCTGGTTTTCACAGTTAAGTAATCAGTTCTTTTTGGCTAGTTTGAGTCTAAAGCCCAATATCAAGCTTGGTTTTTAGATGCCACCTTTCATACACATGTGTATCCATCTTGCGGCACGATTCTTGTGCAAGCGATTTGTAAATTATCGAACTGTACGCATTTGTAAAACTGCGAAAGACCTGTTTTGCTATTAAAATATTTGAAAAATGACTTGTTTGATTTTACTTGAAAAATACTCGAATTTTCCATGAGAAAGTTAATAAAGAACACCAATTAACATCGACAAGCTCAATCAAACCAAAATGGATAATGCGATTATACAGACATTTTCGGCACATTTTAAGCGCTTTCAGCGTTCACGATCTTTAACCGACGATTTTTCCGTTATTATTGACCCAAACGCTTTTTCAATTTTTCCAAAGGTGAAGGTCGATTTTTTGAAAAAATGAAAAATTTCTCAAAATGTCTTAAATTTTACGTCATTTTCAACTCACGCACGCGAAGAATACATCGAACTGATTAAAAAACATGCTAGAAGGTTCAGATGTACTGCACTCTTACCTTGGTCACCCTGTAGAATGCTCTTGTTTTCCAATATACCGGGTCTCACTTTGAAAACTTTCTAACCTTAATATCCCGTCAACGATTTAAGTGGCAAAAATCGTGAACATTTCCTTTACAATTGCTAATTTGTTCGTTTAAAGTCATATTTTCAGGTATTTCAGTCCTTTCGAGAAAATTCCAATAAGACACTTTTTCCAAAACGAAACGAAAACGTGTAAAAACCGGTTAATTTAAAACTTCAATTGCAATAAATACGGCAATTGCAATAAATAATGTGTTTGTATTCACTCGTTGCCATGGTACCCGTCTTGTATTCAACGAGTCGACAAGCGATTGGTCAATCAGGTATACGTGTTTCCGGAAACACGTCACCAGGGACGGTTTCTAGGCAACGAAGGTTGTTGATTTCTTCGAACGGGGAAAAGTACAGATTTTATGCGAAAAATATTCCTTGTGGCAGAAATAAATTATTGACGAATGGGTGTGTAAAATTTTTATTTTTGGCAAAATTTTTGTAAGGGTGGAGGTCGATTTTTTGAACAAATGAAAATGTTCTCAGTGTCCTAAATTTTACATCATTTTCAGCTCACGGACGCGAGGAATGCATCGAACTGATTAAAAAACGTGCTAGAAGGTTCAGATGTAATGCACTCTTACCTTGGTCACCCTGTAGAATGCTCTTGCTTTCCAATATACCGGGTCCCAATTTGAAAACTTTCCAACGATTTAATTCGCAAAAATCGTCAACATTTCCTTTACAATCGCTAATTTTCTAGTTTAAAATCACATTTTCGGGTTGTTTAGTTCTTCGAGAGGCAATTAAAACAAACAAGACACTTTCGAAAACGAACGTGTAAAAACCGGTTAATTTAAAACTTCACTTGCAATAAATACTGCTTTACTGACAACTGATGTGTTTGTATTCACTCGTTGCCATGGTACACGTGTTGTATCCAAAGAGTCGACAAGCGATTGGTCGATTCGCGCTGTGAATGGTCAAAAATATCGATTGTAATTGGGCGCGGTCTAAATTTCACGTCATATAAATGAAACCACATAAATCATCTCGAATACATATAATTCACTTAGAAATTTAGTACAAAGGCAAAAAAACGAAAAATAAAATTAACCAGATTTATAAATTTTCAATAAAAAAGCAACTACTCGAGGTGAACATTTGCATAAAAATACCCAATAAATCGCTTAAAAAATTATATTTTGCACTGAATACAGATAAAACGGTCTTAAATTCTACTATTAACTTGAGTAATTCTAAATCCCACCTGCAAGTGATTAGTTAGCATAATGAAGTTACCATCTACTGTTCGCAGTCTGACCAAGTGATCAATCGGATTGATGCATCACTCGATCAAACTGGACTCTTTTGACATGTTAACAAAAGAAACTAATATAAAAGTTGATAAAAAATTAGACTGAACATTAACGTATTCATCCAGAAATCGGGATTGAATAGGATAATATTCATGTTCTCCTACAAGCTAACTTATAAAGCATAACCATCTTTCCTTAACACTTACGTTCTATCAAACAGCTCATATTGCTAGAAAAGAAATATAAAAAATGTACAGTATTACTAAATAACAATACACCAGCGGCACATTGAAAAATTCCGAATAAAAAAATTAAATGCCGATGATTAATTGATTATGCCCTTGGCTTTGAAGAGATCGCGCATGAGCCCTTTTAAGTACTTGATTTCCCGTTGCAAATCAGTGATTTGCCCATCCAACTCCCCGTGTTTATCCAGCAGGATTTTCTCCTCATTCAAGATTTCTTCCACCTCCGCCTTCTTCTTCATGCGATAGCGAGTGGCCGCGTTCTTGTTCTGCTCTTTTTTGCGATTCTTTTTGTCGTCTGGCGACTTCGAATACGGTTTGCTCCGTTTCTTCGCCACCAGCTTCTGTGCCGGACTCGATGAAGAATCATTGTAATTCTCGATCGGTTCCGGAACCCATTCAGGATCGTCCGATGACGAACAATCGCCAAAGTTGCTGTTGCTGCAGCTGCTGCTTGATGGAGAAGACGGACCACTCCATTGCATATCCTGCACGGTGGTGCGTACCAATTCATCTACAACGGCCAATTCGTGAGCAATATCAGCTTGGGGAGTGGCGACTGGGGCGTAATTCTCGAACGTTTGGGGAACAGTGGAGACAATAATGGGGGAATAGGCAAGCACCGACTCGGGCTGAAGTGCACACTTTTCCGGTACAGAGAATCCGATTTCCTTTCTGGGCGGTTCCTGATAGGAGGTTCCTCCCAAAATTGGCTCCAAAGTGGCGATGATGGGCTGTTCGCTGGGTGGGCTTTGGGGCGGTGTCAGTGTGCCATGGTTGAGCTCGTAGTAAACCTTCTCAAACTCGTTGAAGAGGTAGGAGTTTGAGTCCTCCACGTTTTTGTAGTATTCGGACTTTAGCGACACCGGTACTGCGACAGCACCGCGTTGAGGCGCCACTTCGTCCAATAGAGGAAGCATAAATGACGGTTCTGCAACAGAATGCCGTATTTATTCTGAACTAGTTCTCAGGACATTTTCTGCAGTTGTTTAGGCCACCAGTGGGCGCTGAAGGTTCCCAAAGGTCGCACAAAACGAACAATAAACAAATGTGCAGAGGTCGATTTTTTAAACTTGGATGATGACCCGACCACAATCAGGTACGTTACTATCAACAATCAATCGCTGGTTCCCTCGAAATATTTAATCGATTAGGAAATAAGTAAATCTCAACTTGTTGCCCAAAATATCTCGATCATAAATACCGTGAAAGTTGTTAGGCGTGGTTAGCCTTGTACCGCAAACTGCAATAACATCGATATAAATATTTAATGTAATTATATGCCAGCTAAACAGATACAAATTAATTAATTTGCTTTGTAGGTGAGAACAGATATGCGTGAAGTGGACACACTTTTTATTTACGAGTAGTTCGCAATAACAAAACATCCAAGTACCTACTGGAAAAAATGCGATAAACTTCGCATTTTAGATGAGAAAGTAAAAAACACGCAGTTTTGTGTGTGCTTCCCCCAACTACCATTCAATTAATCCTCCTTTACTTCAGGTTTTTTTAGTGGCTTGCCCCTTATTTACTTGTTCAAATTATAAATATTGCATTAAACCCATTGAGCCTATTTGAAATGGTATAGCGGCCGGTAAACGCTCCAGACCTGACGCCACTGGATTTCATCTTTCTTTGCCGATATCTCGCATCCAAAGTTCACTGAGCAGACACCAATGTTCAGATGCTACTGAATATAATTCGATCGAGATTTTCGCTGATTAAATTCTTTAAAATAATTAAGAATATTTTAAAAACACCTAAAGACAACTAACTATAAGCGACTATAAATAATAAATAAAACCAGTGTACAAACTGTTATTATCTTTTTTCCTTGTTGGGTTCCAGTCAAAATGTGGAATCAAAATGTTCATATTGTTTATTTCATATAACGTTTCGGCGAGACAACAGCGCCATCATCAGATTTAAAATTCAACACAAACCCATAATTGGGAAACATTAGATTCTTTTT